ATTCTGAGACTGCTTCCTTTGAGCGTGCAGGAGCCACTGTTTCCTTTGAGTGTGCAGGAGTGTGCAGTGACCCCGGGGACTGTGTACTGCCCAATCTGGATTAGCAAAGGAAGGAGGAGGGTTTAGGAGATGCATTTTTAATTTTTTTTAGACACAGTCTTGCTCTGCCAGCCCAGGCTGGAAAGCAGTGGCATGATCTTGGCTCACTGCAACTTCTGCCTCCTGGGTTCAAGCATTCTTCTTGCCTCAGCTCCCCAGTAGCTTGGATTACAGGCACGCACCACGACACCCCAGCTAATTTTTGTATTTTTAGTAAGAGATGGGGTTTCACCGTGTTGGCCAGGCTGGTCTCAAACTCCTGGCCTCAAGTGATCCGCCCTGCCTTGCCCCCCAAAGTCTGGGATTACAGGTTAGCCGCCTGCCGCCGTGCCTGGCCAGGAGATGCATGTTTTTTATGGTGCCCAAAGCAAACGAGATTGATGTTCTAGCATTTGCTATGAAGCAGCCCACTCTGCATCCATTTCCCCAGCACAGAATCAGAGACAGGGACTTCCAGGCCAGCCTGCCCTTGAGAGAACCACATACACAAAAACAAAACCCAAGGTGTAAAATCAGTGCCACTGCTCACACGGACAGGGATCTTGTGCTTTCAAAAGCCTTTACCTAAGTGTCCCTCTAAATGGCAAAGCACTCGATACCTTGAAACATGCATTTGATTTACACACATTCAGTCTGCACAAGCAACTTTCTTTTGGAAACCACACTGGGGTGTGAACAAATTGCTCAGACCTTCCCTAATCCCCTGCACTTAGTAAGTGCTTAATAAATCTTTACCTATTATTAGGTAGTATCATAACTAATAATTATTCAAAAAATTGGGCCAGGTGTGGGTGCTCTGCCTGTAATCCCCACGCACTTTGGGAGACAAAAGTGGGTGATCGCTTGAACCTATGAATTTGAGGACACCAGCAAGGGCCAACTTGGCGAAACTCTGCTCTATTTTTCCCTTTAATTAAGTTTTAAAAATTATTGAGGCTGGGGTATGGTGGCTCAATGCCTGTAATCCCAGCACTTTGGGAGGCTGAGGCTGGGTGGATCACTTGTGAGGTCAGAAGTTCGATATTCATGCTGGCCAACTGGTGAAACCCATCCCACTAAAAATACCAAAAAAAAAAAAAATTTGCAGCTGTGGTGGTGCCACACCTGCGTAATCCCAGCTAGCTCGGAGGCTGAGGCGGGAGAATCGCTTGAACTCCCAGAGAGCAGAGGTGCAGTGAGCTGAGATGCATCACTGCACCCCAGCCTGGGCAACAGAGTGAGACTCTGTCTCACTAAAGAAAAAAATATATATAATATAAAAGATATATAAAATATAAATATATTATACATAAAATCATATACGAAAATAAAAATACATAAAATATACTGATAAAAATATAGTTGCATATACACAAAACGAAAACATATATATACTTTTTCATATAAATATTTTTTTATATATTTTTTTTTTCATAATATATTTTTTATATATTACTTTTTTCATATAAATACTATTTTAAATATATATATATTTATATATATATAAATATTATTTTTTTTTTTTTTTGGGAATTGGGAGTCTTTGGCTCTGGTCCCGCCCAGTCCTGGGAAATGCAAGTGGGGTAACAATTCTTCAGCACTTGCCCAAAAACCCTCGCTGCCCCCCCCTCCCCAGGTTCCCAAAGGCGTTCCCTCCTGCCCCCCTCAGCAACCTCCCCTGAAAAGTAGACTGGGAAAATAACATGGGTGGCATTGCCACCATCCCCCAAGGCCTAAATTTTTGTATTTTTTAGTAGAGGACAGGGGGGGTTTCAACCAATGTTGGTCAGTGCTGGTCCCTCGAAACTCCCTGACCTTCAGGGGTGATCACCCACCGCAAAACCTTGGGCCCCTCCCAAAGTGGCTAGAATTTTTTACAAGGGTGGTGAGCCCACTGGCGGGGCCCTGGGGTTCTTGTTTTTTTTTCCCTTTTTAAATTAATTGGAAAAAATTTTATAGCTTCAGAGGAACCCCAGGTCCCCAGGGCCCAGGGGCCCCTGTTTGGCCTTCTTCCAGTCTACAGGCCGGTAGGTCCCTTGCTTAATCACCTTTCCTTGGAGGGCGACTGAGGGTGCAACAGAACTCCTTTCCTCACTTGAAACACCAAGCACCCCCCCCCCACCTCCTGGGGGGGTTTACAACACAAAGGCCCAAAAGGCCAAATGCCCTTGGGGACTCACCTCGAGTTGGCACTTAACCTTTGTGAGGCTCCCCAGCCTTAAGGACCAAACTTGGCACTTTCCGTGTAACTGCACGGTCCTGAGGGTCCAGAGGCTTTGCTCAAAAGAAAACCACAAGCAAACTTGTTTGTTTTTAAGGGTGATCCCCCTTTGTGGGGCACGGTCCCAGATTCATAGAAGTAAAGGAGACTTTCCCTTTTCCCCCCGGTTTTTTTTTTTTTTTTTTTCCCTTTTTTTTTTTTTTTTTTGAGACCAGGAGTCCTCACTTGTTGGCTTGCCCCCAGGCCCCTGGAAAGTGGCAAGTGGTGCCGAATCTTAAGCCTAACACAGCCTCCCCACCCCTTCTGGGTTCAAAGTGATTCCCTGCCCCCCCCCTCAGCCCCTCCCTGGAGGTAGCCCCTGGGGATTAACAAGGTGGTTGCAACCCCCCCACA